GTCTATGTCTCTCTCTGTCTATGTCTCTCTGTGTGTCTATGTCTCTCTATGTCTGTGTCTCTCTGTGTGTGTATGTCTCTGTCTGTCTCTCTGTGTGTCTATGTCTCTCTCTGTCTGTGTCTCTCTGTGTGTCTATGTCTCTCTCTCTCTATGTCTCTCTCTCTGTCTAGGTCTCTCTGTCTATGTCTCTCTGTGTGTCTATGTCTCTCTCTGTCTTTGTCTCTCTGTGTCTATGTCTCTCTCTCTATGTCTATGTCTCTCTCTCTCTGTCTATGTCTCTCTCTCTATGTCTCTCTCTCTGTCTAGGTCTCTCTGTCTATGTCTCTCTGTGTCTATGTCTCTCTCTGTCTGTGTCTCTCTGTGTCTATGTCTCTCTCTCTCTATGTCCCTCTCTCTGTCTATGTCTCTCTCTCTATGTCTCTCTGTCTAGGTCTCTCTGTCTAGGTCTCTCTATATTGGCGATGTTTCGGGTGATAGCCCTTCTTCATTGCAGGCTCTGTGTATCTCCCTCTCTCTCCTGTCTCTGTCTCTCCCTTTCTATGTATAAACTTCTTTCGCACCGTACGTAGCCAACCTCTTTCTCTGTCTCTCTGCTCTCTCTGTCTCCCCCATCCCCCCCCTCTATATCCCTTTTCGCTCTCCTCCTCTCTCCCTCCCTCTCACTGTCCCCATTCTCTTCCTCTCTCTTTTTTTACGATCAGAGGAAACGAGAAGATGCTTGGTGTAGTCGGAATTTTGCTTCGTTCATCATTTCGGTTTTTTTCCACTGCTTTGCGTTATGTAACCCCCCTCCTGTTTAAATGAAATATTTTACGAAAGATTTCACGCTCTGCTCCTTCTTCTTACCCCTTCCCTCTCTCTCTACCCTCTCTCTCTACCCCCTCTCTCCCTACTCTATGTCTATGTTCCCTCTGTTTTCTGTGTACATATTTTTCCCCCTCTCTCTCCCTCTCCCTTTCCCTCTTTATCTTCCCCGGTCTCCACCTCTCGCTCTTCCCATCGGAATCGCCTCCAGTGCTGTTGCTGCTGGCGGCAATAAAAAAATTTAAAAGTCAAAAGTCTCGCTCTTCCTATCTCTCTCTCTCTCTTCCCATCTCTCTCTCCCCATCTCTCTCTGTCTCTCCCCATCTCTCTCTCCCCATCTCTCTCTCCCCATCTCTCTCTGTCTCTCCCCATCTGTCTCTCTCCATCTCTCTCTGTCTCTCCCCATCTCTCTCTGTCTCTCCCCATCTCTCTCTGTCTCTCCCCATCTCTCTCTGTCTCTCCCCATCTCTCTCTGTCTCTCCCCATCTCTCTCTGTCTCTCCCCATCTCTCTCTGTCTCTCCCCATCTCTCTCTGTCTCTCCCCATCTCTCTCTGTCTCTCCCCATCTCTCTCTCTCTCTCTCCCCATCTCTCTCTCCCCCTCCCCATCTCTCTCTCTCTCTCCCCATCTCTCTCTTCCGCCCCCCCCTCTCTCTGTCTCTCCCCATCTCTCCCCATCTCTCTCTCTCCCCATCTCTCTCTCCCCATCTCTCTCCCCATCTCTCTCTGTCTCTCCCCATCTCTCTCTTTCCCTCTCTCTCCCCCCTCTCTCTGTCTCTCCCCATCTCTCTCTCCCCCTCCCCATCTCTCTCTGTCTCTCCCCATCTCTCTCTCTCTCCATCTCTCTCTCCCCCTCCCCATCTCTCTCTGTCTCTCCCCATCTCTCTCTCCCCCTCCCCATCTCTCTCTGTCTCTCCCCATCTCTCTCTCCCCATCTCTGTCTCCCCCTCCCCATCTCTCTCTGTCTCTCCCCATCTCTCTCCCCCTCCCCATCTCTCTCTGTCTCTCCCCATCTCTCTCTCTCTCTCCCCATCTCTCCCCCCTCCCCCCCCTCTATATCCCTTTTCGCTCTCCTCCTCTCTCCCTCCCTCTCACTGTCCCCATTCTCTTCCTCTCTCTCTTTTTTTACGATCAGAGGAAACGAGAAGATGCTTGATGTAGTCGGAATTTTGCTTCGTTCATCATTTCGGTTTTTTTCCACTGCTTTGCGTCATGTAACCCCCCTCCTGTTTAAATGAAATATTTTACGAAAGATTTCACGCTCTGCTCTTTCTTCTTACCCCTTCCCTCTCTCTCTCTACCCCCTCTCTCCCTACTCTGTCTATGTTCCCTCTGTTTTCTATGTACATATTTTCCCCCCTCTCTCTCCCTCTCCCTTTCCCTCTTTATCTTCCCCGGTCTCCACCTCTCGCTCTTCCCATCGGAATCGCCCCCAGTGCTGTTGCTGCTGGCGGCAATAAAAATTGTTTAAAAGTCAAAAGTCTCGCTCTTCCTCTCTCTCTCTCTCTCCCCATCTCTCTCTCCCCATCTCTCTCTGTCTCTCCCCATCTCTCTCTCTCTCCCCATCTCTCTCTCCCCATCTCTCTCTGTCTCTCACCATCTCTCTCTGTCTCTCCCCCTCTCTCTCTTCCCATCTCTCTCCCCATCTCTCTCTGTCTCTCCCCATCTCTCTCTGTCTCTCCCCATCTCTCTCTCCCCATCTCTCTCTGTCTCTCCCCCTCTCTCTCTTCCCATCTCTCTCTGTCTCTCCCCATCTCTCTCTGTCTCTCCCCATCTCTCTCTCCCCATCTCTCTCTTCCCATCTCTCTCTGTCTCTCCCCATCTCTCTCTGTCTCTCCCCCTCTCTCTCTTCCCATCTCTCTCTCCCCATCTCTCTCTGTCTCTCCCCCTCTCTCTCTTCCCATCTCTCTCTGTCTCCCCATCTCTCTCTCTGTCTCTCCCCATCTCTCTCTGTCTCTCCCCCTCTCTCTCTCCCCATCTCTCTCTCTGTCTCTCCCCATCTCTCTCTTCCCCTCTCTCCCCTCCCCCCTCTCTCTGTCTCTCCCCATCTCTCTCTGTCTCTCCCCATCTCTCTCTCTCTCTCTTCCCATCTCTTTCTGTCTCTCCCCATCTCTCTCTCCCCATCTCTCTCTCCCCATCTCTCTCTGTCTCTCCCCATCTCTCTCTGTCTCTCCCCATCTCTCTCTCTCCATCTCTCTCTCCCCATCTCTCTCTCCCCATCTCTCTCTGTCTCTCCCCATCTCTCTCTGTCTCTCCCCCTCTCTCTCTTCCCATCTCTCTCTCCCCATCTCTCTCTCCCCATCTCTCTCTGTCTCTCCCCCTCTCTCTCTCCCCATCTCTCTCTCCCCATCTCTCTCTGTCTCTCCCCATCTCTCTCTGTCTCTCCCCATCTCTCTCTCTCCCCATCTCTCTCTCCCCATCTCTCTCTGTCTCTCCCCATCTCTCTCTGTCTCTCCCCATCTCTCTCTCCCCCTCCCCATCTCTCTCTGTCTCTCCCCATCTCTCTCTCCCCCTCCCCATCTCTCTCTCCCCATCTCTCTCTCCCCATCTCTCTCTTCCCCTCTCTCCCCCCCCTCTCTCTGTCTCTCCCCATTTCTCTCTCCCCATCTCTCTCTTCCCCCCCCCCTCTCTCTGTCTCTCTCCCTCTTGTGAAACCCTGCGAGAGGCACGCGTGGGTGGCCCTGGGTTTCGTAAGAGTCGGACTCGCGCGGGCTGCGCGAAATTAATTAAATCGCTTGCTGGAGGCGACCTCTGGTCCGTCGTGGGGGGGGGGGGGGGCAGCTGGGGGGGTGGAGGGGGGGCAGCTGGGGGGGGGGGCAGCTGGGGGGGGGGCAGCACGCCCCGGGGGCTGTTTCAGTCACCACCAAAGACAAAGATCCCCCGTAAAGCCTTCAACGTTCTGTTGGGGCAAGTGCAGTGAGCGAGTAGCACGGCCTACATAGGCGGCGCTACTCGCTCGGCCACCTTTGTGTCCCCAGTGGGCATGTTTTACACATCTTTGTGTCCCCAGTGACCATGTTTTACACATCTTTGTGTCCCCAGTGACCATGTTTTACACATCTTTGTGTCTCCACGGGCCATGTTTTACACATCATTCTGTCCCCAGTGACCATGTTTTACACATCATTCTGTCCCCAGTGGGCATGTTTTACACATCTCACTGGGCACTCATTGGAGGCTGAGTCGACCTAGGAGAGGCCCAGGATAGGCGCAAATCATCGTCACCGGTTTTGGTGGCCGCGAGCGGGAATCGAACTCGGGTCGCCGGCTTCGTAGTGGGGCGCGCTCACCGCTGCGCCACCGCTCCCTCCCACCACCACCCATGCCTTACGCGCCAAATGGCGAAACCACCGCCACGAGCCACTACACCATCACTTCCGCCGCCATCAGCACCACGGCCCACGCAGACCACTGACGTATCACACAACACCAACCACCGTGGTTGGTGGTCGTTGGTGTGGTTTAGAGGCAATGCTGTTTGCTTGACCAGCGTCACATCCTGACTTAAAGCTTTCGTGACTGCGGGAATTCATATTCTTTGGGTCTTTCGGTAAAGTCACGTAGATAGGTTCAAAGAAAATAACAAAAAACTAAGACGTTTCGATCGCAACACAAGCGGTCGTCAGGAGGAAAAGGGGGTTAGCTTCTAAAGGCAAACTGTTTATAAAGGTTTAAAATGGGCGTAACCCAAATGTCAGCAGCCAATGTTACATTTGGGCTGCGCCCATTTCAAACCTTTATAAACTGTTTGCCTTTAGAAGCTAACCCCCTTTTCCTGATGACGACCGCTTGTGTTGCGATCGAAACGTCGTAGTTTTTTGTTATTTTCTTTGAACCTATCTACGTGACTTTACCGAAAGACCCAGATAATTTGACCAGCGTCGTTAGTGTTAGGGGTAGGATTCGGTCGAATAATGTGGTTACGGGGTAGAGCTAGGTTCTGGTCGACTAGCGTGGTTGGGGTTGGGTGTGGGTTACTGGTGTGGCTGGGGTTAGGGATAGAGCTACTTATACTGGATGAATCCGATGAGCTGTAAAGCTCTTTTTCACATATGTGCAGGTTTAGCACAGCGTCCGGTCGCCTTGCGCTGTTGTTATGTGAGCTGCTGATAAGTGATGGGCGTGCTGCTGTTGTTGCTGCTGTTGTTGTTTGTGTGTTGTTGTTGTTGTTGACCTGCATCTCTCTCCGCTCACCAGCTGTCACGCTTCCGCGAGCTCAGCTTCTCCGGGGAGAACGAAAAGAGCCGACCCATGGTGGACAACTTCCGACCGCCGCAGCCACTGTGTGGCCGAGTCGTCACTGCCTACCCGTGATGACCTCGACCCTTGACTCCTGACCGTCACCTTTGACCTCTGACTGGGCTTGCCACGACTCTGTTCCTCGTGACCCACCGCTGCTGCCTCGTAGGTCAATATCAAACTCCAGAAGCAGTCCCTCGGTTTTACGTTTTTTTAATCCATTCCATGAAAACTACTGTTAACCCCAATAACCGTTCATCGAAGAGAGAGCCGGTCTCCACCGCCACACAGAGAACATAATCACGTGAACAAAGCCAGTCGAGGTCCGAACGCCTATAAATGAGCGTCCCTGATTGGCTGAGGGCATGGCTCAGCTCTGCTTACAAGTGCTCGGATTGGCCGAAATTGGCGCCCCGCGTGTATAACGTAAACGTGCCGTTCGCCCAAATGTTAACATTCAGTCGAAATCATGGCGGTCCTATGGGAGGCGAAACGATAACCTAAAACCGTTAACCGATGTCACTGTTAACCGAGGGACTACCGTGCAACCCCTTATCTAACGGTGAGAGAGGCGGTGGGGGGGGGGGGGTCCCTTTCCTACGCACATTTCCATCAGCATTGGTTGAAGCGAGCCTGACTGCTGGGGCCACATGCTGAATGGTCACAAACCAGCCCAGAGTTCTCCTTGCACGAAACCAATGCCGATGGAATAATAATAATATATAATGATATGCGCTCCCAGAGGGCTGCCGTATGGCTGATGGGATTCGTGAAAAAAAATTACACTTTTTTATTTATTCATGCAGAAATGGGGTACGGTGCGAATTTGTCCACTTAATTCGTTTTGTTGAGCAATCATCTGGCGCGTGTAAGTAGCGTGTAGGAGAGGAGTGGCGGGGGGAGACACCCGGTAAACACAGAGAGGGCCGACCATCGTGGGCGGCGAGGGCCGGAGTTCTGGACCGATCGCGACGCTGCAAGACGGGACGCTGACCACGCAGCTTTTGCACTAAACGCAATTAAGGCGCCCGTGACGTGCGCGTCTCTTGAAGAGCAATATTCGTACGACTGATGAAACAGTTAATTAATCACTACTGGGCGAAGTCCACACGTGATCACGTTATCACCTTATTGTTAAGTTCAAATGCAAAACGAATTGACGTCATAGGCGATATTCGTTATTATTGTGACGCGTCGTCGTGACGCCTCGTCGTGACGCGTCATCATGACGCCTCGTCGTGACGCCTCGCTGTGACACGTCACAATGACGCGTCACAATGACACGTCATTGTGACGCCTCGTCGTGACGCCTCGCTGTGACACGTCACAATGACGCGTCACAATGACACGTCATTGTGACGCCTCGTCGTGACGCCTCGCTGTGACACGTCACAATGACGCGTCGTCGTGACGCCTCGTCGTGACGCGTCACAATGACACCTCGTCGTGACGCGTCACAATGACGTGTCATTGTGACGCCTCGTCGTGACGCCTCGCTGTGACACGTCACAATGACGCCTCGTCGTGACGCGTCGTCATGACGCGTCGTCGTGACGCCTAGTCGTGACGCGTCACAATGACGCCTCGTCGTGACGCGGCGTCACAATGACACGTCACTGTGACGCCTCGTCATGACGCCTCGTTGTGACGCCTCGTCGTGACGCGGCGTCACAATGACACGTCACAATGACGCGTCGTCATGACGCCTCGTCGTGACGCTTCGTTGTGATGCGTCGTCGCGACGCTGTGATGCGTCTGTATCGACTGCAATGAAATGCAAGGCATGTTCGTGAATCGAGGGAACACGCAAGGACGCGGTTCCCTTCTGTTGTTCCACCCCCCCCCCCCACCCCCAAATCTCCACATTCGGCCCTAATGGAATCGCCCACTCGCTATGAGATTATAGAAAACTTCGGACCGTACTTTTAGATAACGGGGAGAGGGATTTGAGTTAACGACGTCCGTCTCAATTACGCCGACGTCCAGAATGAACACCAACCCCCCCCCCCCGCCCCCCCCCCCCCCCCATTCGAGACACAAACATCACCGGACCTCCCGGATTCGAGATTCCTCCTCCTCGAAGCCACTGCTGGAACCGGAACATCGACGGCAGGCCGATGCGCACCTCCGTGAACGGACAGCGGAAAGGCGCAAGCCGTGGGAGCGTGATCGCGGCCGTGCAATCCTCACGCCTGAGCACGCGTGGTTCTACAAACCACTGCGGTCTGCGCTCCCGCAGCAGCAGCAGCAGCGGAGGAGGAGGAGGAGGGGGAGGAGAAGGAGAAGGAGGAGGAGGAGGAGGGGGAGGAGGAGTAGGAGGAGGAGGAGGAGGGGGAGGAGAAGGAGGAGGAGGAGGAGGAGGATGAGGAGGAGGAGCACCCAAACGACACGAACTCCATGCCGACGCCATTCTTGTCGTGGCCAGCAGCAAGCGCCTGAACATCTTGCTGCCGCCAATGAGCGCAAGAGTCGACGATCACAGGAGGGGTGGGGTGGAGAGGGGGCTCGGGTGTGGGAGGTGAGCGATGGTGGGGCGTGATTGGTTTTTCTTTACAAAGGAGGTGCATCACGACCAAATGAGCCCGGGGCGTGGGCCGATCTCGTGGGATCGGGGAAACCAAACAGGGTGGGCCCCTCAGCAGGGCAGCACGTCACCTTGTCAGGGTGACCCCAACCCCGTGCCTGTAACGAACCGGGGGCCGCGGCTGGAGGGCTCTGGGCTGTGCGGGCAGCACCGGGGGTCAGTGCCCACGAGCCACACACATTAAGGTGCCCCCCGCACCCCGCTTTGAGCTGAAGTATGGTCGAATAGCTTGATGAATGCACCCCCCACGACCCGCACGGTTGTGCGGAGAGGCCCCCTCATCCGGCAGTGGATTGACGACAAGGGCTGTGCGTGTACCCAAGTGCACGGGGGTATCACTGGAATGCGATAACTTGAGTGATCGCTGTTGCTGCTGTTGACGAAACTGATTATTGTGGTGCTGCTGTCCGTGTTGGTGGTAGTGGTGTGGGGAGCGGTGGCGCAGCGGTTAGCGCGCTGCGCTACGAGCCCGGCGACCCGAGTTCGATTCCCGCTCACGGTCCAACACTCGTGACGAATGTCTGAACCGGTCCGGGGCCTCCCCCTCGGTGACCCGGCGTGGCGCTGCTCAGGTCTTCATAAGTGATCGCTAACAGCACTTCCCCCAACTTTCTCTTGTGGCTACATAGGGCGTCTTTGTCTTTGCTAATGATGTTGCTGATGATCATGATGGCTGTTAATGTCGCTTCCGCTTGTGTTACTGCCGATGCTAATATTGATGTTGTTGTTGCTGCTGATGCTGAATGTTGGTGGTGCTACTGCTCCCGGTGACATTTGTAATTCTCCGATATATTAATAGTTTACCAAAGCTAGAGGCGTCTCGTGTTGCTCCGGTCATGGCCGAATAGCCCGGTGTCACGGTGACACGCGGCCGTGTCGAGGGTCGAATGCAGTCTCCCCGCTCCGAGAAGCTGAGATCAAGAGAGACGGAGGAGCGGTGGCGCAGCGGTTAGGGCACTTGCGCTATGAAACACAGCGACCCGTTCGCCGCCTTAGATTGGATTAATGGTCACACGGCTACTGTCAGTGGCGAGTGACATCTGAACCGGTCATCGAACAACCCCCCCCGCCCCCCACCGCCCTCCAATCCAGAATCAGAATCTGTATTTAGACTGCAGGAGGAATCCGATGAGCTATAAAGCTCTTTTTCACAGATGTCCAGTAGGGGCACGTCAGAACGTTACAACAACGAACAAAACAGCAAACACCGCGGGAGTGCAAAGTGTAGGGCAGGTAAGCAAATCGCAAAAAAATAATCAACAAATAAAACTACGCGATATTTTTTAGCTTACCAGGCAAAGCCCACTGAACTATTAGCTTCTTTTTCAGAAGCGACCTGGCCACGAATGATAGCCCAACGAAGTGGCTTATCACGTGTGGAAATGTATAGCAGCCAACTACTCTAAACGAATGTTTCTAAATGTGGAGGGGAACCCCGGAGAATCCGGATAAAAATCCACGCGATCACGGGGAGAGAGACACGCAGACTCCAAATATGCAGGCGTCAGGGTCGGGATCGAACCCACGACCTCCTCCATACCAGGCGAGGCAGAAGATGGATTTTCGGTGGTGGATTATAATTCTTGTATACCCGTCATGGGTTTTGACTTCTCTAATCCGCGCCAACCCGCGTGGTGAAGTATGGTCAAACGCCCACCGTGACCGACAGCGGCTCGTTGGAGCCTTCATCCAGCGGTGGAGTGACAAAGGGGATGTAACATTTGCCCTCGTGACGCTGGAGCCGCGCCAGCTGAAATCAATTTTTGTTGAACTAACAACGAGCACGTCCTTTGGGTGTGAACGCCCGCCCGTCCTTCCCTCCAGCCAGCCAGCCAGCAAACCTTTAAAACAAATTAATATACTGCATTTACTGGCGAAACGTCGCACTCAGATTGTAAATGTTGTGGATTTGCTCTCCAGCACGCGGTGTGCGCTGTAATAGCGACAAATTGGCACGTTCTGTTTACATGACAACCCTTACTAATTGGCTGTGTCGGGTGGTGGCGGGTTTAACGACACATTCACATTGACGCGATCTAACCCAAAAAAAAAAAATCTCTCGTGGGTAATACACCGTAGTTATGATACATTGTGGCGGACGGGGGTGCTGGCGCTGTAAACCCGGAGACCTGGCTGAGTTTGAATCTCGGTCACGGCTACCATCAGTGGCGAGTGATATCTGACGCCCCCCCCCCTGCACTCCCCACCCCCAGCTCTCGCGTCGTGCAGCGTGATGATTTGTGGTCAAACAGCGCGAAGGTGAGCGTGGAGTTGTCCGGGGTGAGGGTTCCGTGCCTGTGGTGGGGCAGCTTTCATCCACCAGCGGAGTGACAAGGGGATGCAAATCCTAAATGGAGAGGAGGCGAGGAGGATGAGGGAGAGGAAGATGAGGAGGAAGGGGAGGAGGAGGAGGATGAGGAGGAAGGGGAGGAGGAGGATGAGGAGGAAGAAGAGGAGGATGAGGATGAGGAAGATAATGGTGAGGATGGGGATGAGGAGGATGAGGAGGAAGGGAAGGAGGATGAGGAGGAGGAAGAGGATGAGGAGGAAGAGAATGAGAATGAGAAGGGTGAGGAGGAGAATGAGGAGAAGAATGAGGAGGAGAATGAGGAGGAGAATGAGGAGGAGAATGAGGAGGGGGCTCCACTGGGCTCACTCGGCCAATCCCGGAACGAGATGCCACCGCGTGATCAAGGGTGGCAGCACGCCAGGGTGCGATATTTTCGCATTTCGTATTCAGAATAATCAACACCGTGCCCTTATTTTGTCCCTAAGAAAAAAATATTTAGAAAATGTGGGATAGCTGACAAGCGAGCTTATCGCGCTGGACAACGTTTTTCTTGATTCATTTACCTTGTAGAAAGCTCCTTAGGCTTAAGAAAAATAATCTTCTGTAAACGTGATTTTTTTTGTTGTCTGCTCGAATTTACATTAAGCAACAACATTTAAATCCAAAATCGCATCATTTCTAGATATTGATCAAAAACGCTTAAACTGTCTCACCCCTTATCAATGGTAAAGTGTCATTTTGAGAAAGGAGTCTTTGCCTGCCGTTTTAATTTTTCGATAACTTGACGAAGTAAAGTCGTGTAGCCTCCTCAATGCCGCCCTTTCGCGTGCGAGAGAGACGAAGGGAGGTTGGTGGGCGGATTCCTCTCGCCAAGAGCATCAACCCGACCCTCCCTGCAGCGACTGATACTGCAGCTGATGATGACGATGATGATGTTGATGCTGCTGCTGACGATGATTGTTAACACGCTGCCTGCTTTGTTCGCTCACACCACGTGTTCTAGCCCGCGTTTGTGTCGTTGTGCCGTCGCTGGGGGG